GGCTCAAGCCACACTTCTTCAATATGGCTGCCTTGTTCAAGCATCAAGAGAATGTGGCTTACAGAAACAGTAAGATAGACGATGAGGGAAATGAAGGTTAAGGAATGAGAATGAAGCTTCCGTGGGAAGACGCATTACAGAAAGGGTCAGTGCTCAAGCTGAACAGGCCTCAGAGATAAGACCTGGCTCTGAGAAAGCAGCCGCCCTGCGGACAGGAGTCACAGGCTGGACAAGCCAGGACCTCAGGACCCCGCCAACCTTGGGAACTCGGCAGCGCCCTCTAGTGCAGGGCCAGGCACCACGCCGTCTGCACCCAGGACTACCTCAGGGAGCCTGGGCCCACATTTCTAAGGAGATAACTGTTTTGTGAGTCCCAAGGGGAAAAAACAAACCAGCATCAAGAGGAAGAGAAATCTGACTTTTGAAGAAGTAACATCAGGTCAATGAGTCAACAGAGAGTGTCTGGGGTGACGGGGCGCTGGGGGCAGCCTCCCTGGGCCTGGTAAGAAGCTGGATTTATCTGGACAGCTCGGGGGATGAGCTTGATCCGATCATATTTTAAGGTCACCTTGGTTGCTAAGTGGAGAATATAACAAGCTTTTCAAAATAAAAACAGTAAAAGCAAAAGGTTAAATAAAGAGACATTTCCTTAGTGCTGTATCTCTGTTAAACGCAAACGCACTGGAATCAATCGTTGCTTCATATTCATAGTGAGGGTCCGGGCCACTCCCGCGTTCCTCCCAGGGAGCCGAGGGTCTATGGACGTTTTGCCAGTTAAGGAGACCAAGGTGGAGTTAAAAGCTGTGGTCCTTCTTTTGTTTTTTAAGATAGAACTGTTTCCTTAGTCAAAACTATTCGCAGTTTAACGCCCACGGTTGAATGCCCACGTTGGTAACCCATGTCCTAGACACGGGCATGTATTTCCATAACTCCTACCGTAAGCAATGGGGTTGGACTTGACCTCCAACCACTTGCCAAGTCCCTTTCCCGCAGCTGCCGCGCGTGGACACTGTTGTCAGCACAGGACAGGGGGAGGACCCTGGTGTCCGGGGCGCCCACCTCCTACGGGCCTTGGGGGAGGGGAGGTGGAAAGGAACAAGCTCACGGATGGAGCGTGCAGGAATATTTCTGGGAGCAGACATGCTATGAGGAAAAAACCAGGACAACATCAACCACAACACAGCGCACGGGACCACCTCAGGAAGCGACATGTGAGCTGAGATGTGAAGAATGCGCAGGAGCTGGCCTCCACCGAAATATCAACAATAACGACGATGACGACGCAGAGCATAGGACGTACCTGCATTTCTGGGGCCGGACCAGGTGCGCCAGCTCGGCGAACCTCCACAGGGCAGCACGCAGGCTCCGGGGAGCGCCGTTCTGCGTGGATTAATGAGTGGAGTTACATTGTAGGGTCACGGACACTAGTCACCAAGAGGACTTCACATAACAAAAGCATTTTTTCATTGTTAACTTCTATTTTTAGAGAAAAGGTCATTTGAATGTTTACTTTAGAAATTTTAAGGTCTAGTGAATTTAATTATAACGATATAAAAATTAAGTTACCATTTTAAATACCCAACTCCTCTAATAAACTACGAAGAGCAGAAGAAAAGTGAAATTATGTCTACTACAGCAAACAGCTCTCCCTTCTAACATTTTTACTTATTAAATGTAAGATGACATTTCCCGGAAACAGCTCACGGCAGCGAGGCGGCCGCTGCTGGTGGCGGAACAAGGCGCACCTTCTTGATTTCCTTGTAGAGCTCGAGCTGCAGCCTCGGGAGGTTAGAATCCATCAGCGCCTGCAACACAACCAGAGCTCGGCTCAGGCAGACAGCCCGCCAGCAGCTCTGAGCAAGCTGAGGCCGCTTACACCTCAGTCATGGGCGAAGTAAACGCTAATAGCAACTAAACGAAGAACCTATTCACTGAGGAAAAAGCACATATATGCACAGGTGACTCACCTGAATAAAAATGGAATTTAATTTTATCACAATCAAGTACTACATAATATCAAAATGAAAGGGCAGATGGTTCAACAAATTCATTCTAAAGCTCTTATCTGAAACCCTGAACAGGCAGCGAGTGCAGAAAACCCTGAAAGTTCTGTCTTCGTTCAAGTGCACTCTGCCAGGTGACCGACATTAGTTAGCAAGGCCTCAGTCAGGGAGCCGCGGGCGGTGCACCTGCGGGGTCAGAGCCTCGCTCTGCCATGGAACCCACTCCCGGTGCAGACCCGGCGTCCTCCTCCAGGTCTGGCCCTCCCTTGATGTCCCGATGCGCCTAGCCTATGGCCCAGGGGCCCTCTGAGCCCGCAGCCAGCTGGGAGCCACAGGCCCCTCCCAGCCAGGGCCTGCTCACCCTCCCAGGGCCCGCCTCCTTCCAGACGCTCCGCTCTCGCTCTGGGCGCTGGCCCGGGCTCCGGAATCCCAGCAGGGCCTTCGCCGCTCCCAGGCAGGCCTCCCTCGGCACAGGCTTCCCTTCCAGAATAAGCACTCCCCTGACCGCATCAGCCATCTGCCAGAGCCCTCCTCCTCCCCAAGTAAAGCACACCCCCGTTCTGGGCGGCACACACCGAGGCAGGCTCACCGAGGAGGGAGCCTGCGAGGCTTCCTGGCACCAGAGGCCACGCCAGTGTAAGAGGCCCGAGCCTCCTACTTGCCCCCAGCCACCACCTCCAGGAAGCCTCTCTGCCCCCAACAGCGAGCACCCGGCTGGGACTCAGGGTCTGCACTTCTGTCCCAGCCGCCTCACACGGGACTGGACGTGACTTGAGGGCAGAGCACATGGCCAGGCTCATCGGGTCCCCAGAGCACTTTCCTACGTAAATGAAGAGGGAAATGTGCCCCAACTTCCTGCAAGGCCCCGCGACCAGGACCCTGCGGAGAAGGAGCGGAGGCATCTGCTCTGAGCCAACGGGAGGAGCGGCTTTGGAAAGTGTCGAGAACCATGTCGGAGCCCTTCCTCGTGCCGGTGAGTCCACAGGGGGAAGTGTCTCAGTTTGGACACTCGCACACTCCAGGTGGCTCAAGGGCAGCCACCGGGTGGGGTGGGGACCCGACCGCAGGCGGGCGGAGGAGGCTCAGGACAGTTTCCAGCGCATCAGGAATTAGGAAGAAGGGCGCTGGGCCGTGGCAGCAGGAAACCGAAAAGGCGACAGCAGATTCTAGCTCTGTGGCCTTGGCCACAAACGCCACATCAGGAGGCAATCTCGGAAGAGGACAGGTGCCCCTTCTCTCCCCTGACCTCCCTGTCAGCCAGGGCTTCCGCTTCTGGCTGACCTCCTGTCCTGCGACCCCTCAGCCCAGCCAACCTGCTGCCAAGTCACAGCCTGACCTGCAAGCAGCACTGCCCGCCCAGACCCCCGGAGGGCAGAGAGAGGGGCGAAGGAGGGAGCTAGAGACACCACAGAGGAGTCCAGGGGCCTCGTGGTCTCTCCGGACACGCCCCCAAAGGTGCACCCAGGAGTCACCACCAGCACCCGCCCTGCCCACCCCCTGCAGTGAGGGCAGGCAGTCCTGCAGGCGGCGCCCCCCACACTGTGGTGCAGCCAGTGCGACAGCTGAGGGACGGCGCCGCTCCAAAGGCCGCCGGCTACGCCCAGCTCGGAGAACGCCGTCCCCAGGGCCCCTTTTTTAAATTTATGTGATGTATTTATTGGGTGACCCGGGTTAATAAATTCCGTAGGTGTCGGCTGCACAGCTCTGTGTGTCATGGCGGATGCTGGCCCCGGCTTCTCACCTTGATGACCTTGTTGAGGCACTCGTCAGCCACCATCCTCACGTCCGACTCCGCGTCGTCGCTGCACAGCAGGAACAGCTCCATGGCGATGCCCAGCAGTTTCTGAAACTCGGGAGAATTTCTAAGTGAAACAAGGAGAGAGAATGTCGCAGCAACAAGAGCCTAAGAAGCCATGACAATCAAACGTCACGTGGCGTCTGGTGTCCTGTCCGGGACGCGGGAGCACGAAACAAAGTCGATGTCTGTCGCATGGACCCTAACTAGGAAACACGACCACAGTGACGCTAGAGGCTACGATGGGGAACCGGATGTGGGCACTGGAAACTGCTAGCTCCGTAATTCTTCCGTGAATTTAAAACTATTCTAAAATTTTAAAGTTTATTTACAAAAAAAAGAGGTTGTGTTTGCAAGACAAATCTCATTTTTTAAAGTTTTAATTTAAACGTTTTTGAAAGACTCTCCTTTTTGTGTATTTTAACTCAATTTTTTAAAAAGACACTGCTTGAGCCTGGCTAGCCGGTTTGGCTCAGTGGATAGAGCATCAGCCTTTGGCCCAAAGGAAGCGAACCCGGTCAAGGGCACATACCTCGGTTGCAGGCTCCTCCCCGGCCCTGGCCCTGGCCAGAGCTCCTGCAGGAGGCAACCAAATGATGTGTTTCTCTCACATTGATGTTTCTCTCTGTCTTTCCCTGCCTCTCCCACTCTCCCCAAATAAGTCAATGGGAAAAATGTCCTCAGGTGAGGATTAACAAAAAACAAAACAAAAACAAAAACCACACAAATGACCCTGCTTGAAATGCTGGCACCCCAGCCAGCCGCCCGCTCTGTGCCACAGGTGACTGACTTGCAGCATTCTTCTTTGTAACCCTCGCCCGGGAACATGCTAAGGGAAGCGAGAGGAGGGGGGGTGGGGGACATCGATGTGAGGAACATCAATGGGTCAATGGGCGGCTTGCAGAGGTGCCCGACCTGGATGGAACCTCAGTCCAGGCGTGTGCCTGACCAGGACCGAACCAGGGACCTTCCAGAGGACAGGACGGCCCTCAACCCACTGAGCCACACTCCTGCCACCGAGTCAGTCCCCGCTCTAGCTCTTCACTCCCTTTGCATCCTGCTTCCCGTGTGTCCTAAAGTCCAGCTGGACTTCACCAGACGCCACGTGTCCACGGTCAGGCTGTCGGGCCTGCCACACTCACACACACTGAACTCTCGCAATGTTTGTGAGTGATTTTAACACGTGTAACCAAGAGCCTGTGTAGGCTGTCGAGATCCAGGAGGCTAAACACAGCGAAGACAGAGATACAGGGACGGGCCACGGGCAGGAAACCGGTGCCCCAGCACTGGAAGCGCAGCACGCCAACAGGACGGCCCTGAACAATGGCGCCGCGCCTCACACAGCAAGTTGGCTGCCGTGTCACGGTCGCAACCCGGTGTGCTCTGAAATGGGGTCCCCCCACTCTCTCCCTCAAATTCCCACCGACAGTCAGAGAGCCCAGGAGAAAGCGAAGGGCGGCCTCAGCGATGGTCAGCCATAGAAGCAGGACACAAAGCGGAGCAGCCGCCTGGCCCACGGGCAGTTCAGAGGAGGGAGGAGGAGTAGAGGAGGGAGGCCCCGGGAGAGGGGAGTAGAGGAGGGAGGCCCCGGGAGAGGGGAGCAGGGGAGGGAGGCCCCAGGAGAGGGGAGCAGGGGAGGGAGGCCCCAGGAGAGGGGAGCAGGGGAGGGAGGCCCCGGGAGAGGGGAGCAGAGGAGGGAGGCCCCGGGCGCAGGCCAGCATCCATGCTGCTCAGAGCAGCGCTGTCCATAGAGAGACCAGCTGACCTGGGCGGGACTTGGGCTTCCTAACAGACACCGCAGACATCAAAAGAGGCGGAAAATTACCTTCACGCTACATTTCACTTCACCCAATGTATCAAAAATACTATTCAACATGCGATGGGTAACACATCACGATCCCTTTTACACCTCAAATCCGTCTCCTCGACCCAGCAAGCAGGACTGTGCCTGGGCTCCCGCGGGCAGTCATCCGGGGGTCACTGGGCTCCCGCGTGTCCCGGGCCCCCGCACTGCTGCTCTGATGCTAGTGCCTCGAAAACCACTGTTACAAACACCTGATCTGTATCAATCGCTTTAGGCAGGAAGGTAAGCCCTGTCCACTGACTTATCTTAGCCGGAAGCAAAATCCTTCATCATTTCTTACCTGAAGTTTTCGTACTGTTAGTATCGTTTCTGGTCATAAATATGTGTAAATCATCTTGTATAAAGTTAACTAGCATTCCTTTCTATAAATGCACCTTAAATTTTCAACTCCCCTACTGGTAAACACTGAGATTATCTTTAATTTTCTAACGGGATGAAAAACTGCCCTAGACCAATGTCATTACCCACTTGCCTAAGGCTAAGACCAGAAGTGAAACCAATGGAACACAGATCTAGTTTAAAGCATTGTATTCTGCCAAATTGCCTTTTAAGACGATTGTATCACCACTGACAAAACCCTAAGTAGTTTTTAATGTTTGCCAATTTGACAAGTGAATCATGTTCTTACAGGAATGTGCCAAGCCTAACGACAGCTTTGGTCAACAAGGAACCGCATATATGAGTGGCCCCTTCAAATTGTAATGCTGGGAAACGCCTACGGCCTGGTGACGTCACCGCGCAAAGGCTGCGATATCGCCAGGGCTGTGGGTGAGCTGGCACACAGCTCTCACGGGTGTGGGTGGGGATGGCACCGCGGCTCCTGCAGGGGTTCCTGGGAGCTGACTCCCAGGAGCTGCTGGAACTGGAGCAGGAACGCAGCTGAAGAGGAGGCAAGCGGAAAGGGAACGGAGGGAAGGAAAAGGACCCTCAGAAAGTTCACCGTGAAGGCCAGTGGAAGTGCTTACAGACTTCAACACGCTCCTTAAACAGCATGACAGCACGGCCCACCTGGTGGGTGTGCTCAGCGGTTGGAACATCAGTCAGGGGTCGTGGGGTCAATCACAGTCAATAGCACGTACCTGGCCCTACCTGGTTTGGCTCAGTGGATAGAGCATCGGCCTGCAGATTGAAGGGTCCCAGGTTCGATTCCAGTCAAGGGCACATACCTGGGTTGCAGGCTCGATCCCCAGTGTGGGGTGTGCAGGAGGCAGCTGATCAATGATTCTCTCTCATCATTGATGTTTCCATCTCTCTCTCTCTCTCTCTCTCTCTCTCTCTCTCTTCCTCTCTGACATCAATAAAAATAAAAAAAATTTAAAAAAAGAGCATGTAGCTGGGTTGCGGGTTCAATCTCAGCCCCAGTGGGGTGAATGCAGGAAGCAACCGGTCAATGTGTCTCCCTCACATCGATGTTTGTCTCTCTCTCCCTCTCCCTTCTACTCTCTCTAAAAATCAATGGAAAAAATATCCTCAGGTGAGGATGAATAACAACAACAAAAACAGCTTATAGAATAAGAATATAAAATTTTTTTCTAAAACCAGAAAACATATTCTTGTACAGTTGTACAATGTGTTTGTGTTTTAAGCTACGTGTTATTACACAAGAGCAGCCCACACTGCTGGGAACCTCGCACCCTGAGGGCCACCCACGGCGGCCCAGTGCCCAAGAGAGCGAGGCAAGGGTCTGACCACTGGACAGGCACGTGTTGTTCCAATGACTAACATAATGTAAAATATCAAAGAGAAGATGATGTTTAAATGATCACAGTTACTGAGCGCCAATTAAATATACACATGCTGCTCACACGGTCCGGGTATAAAAAGGGGGCAGCCCTGGCCAGTGTGGCTCAGTGGATAGAGCGTCAACCCGGGGACGGAAGGGTTGGATTCCTGGTCAAGGGCACGTACCTGATTGTAGGCTCGATCCCTGGCACTGGGAGGCAATCAATCAATGTGTCTCTCTCACATAAATGTCTCTCCCCCTCCCTTCCACTCTCTCTTAAAAAAGTAAATGCAAAAATATTCTCGGAAGAGGATTAACAACAACAAAAAAGGAGGAGGTGCTGCTCACTGGTGTCTGGGAGAAGACCAGGGAGGGGCCCTTTCAAGGCTGAGAGACGAAGTTACAGATGAAACGCATGAAGCGCTTCTGCGCCGGAAGTCGAGGGCACCTACCTGAGCGACTGACCCACTATGCTCTCACAGATGGTCAGACAATGGTTCACGCGGTCCTTCTTGGTGGCTGAGAGCTCCTTCTTTCTGAAAGAAAAGGAAGGGAAGGAGTGAGCTGTGCTGAACCAGGCGCCCACCTCTTGCTGCCCGTCCCTGACGCTCCCGTCCCTGGTGCTCCCGTCCCTGATGCGCAGGAGGCCACGGCAAAAAAAAAAGGGGGGGGGGTTGGGGGCAGAGTGCGGTCAGTGCGGGAGGCGCCGAGGGCTCAGCCCGGGCTTCCTTACCCACATGCCCCGGAGCCACGCCAGGTGATGCTCCTGACGCACCTGGCTTTCCCAGGTCGCGGAGACACTAGGTCCCAGGGATAAATTACAGACACGGGCTCATCGTTTCTATCTCCCCAACCGCGAGATAGAAATAGGCCTCCCGCTCAGAGCCTTTCTGCACAGCCTCCTCCTCAGACTCCCCAGCCCGAAAGAGGGGGTGCAAAGCCAGGCCCAGAAGCCCAGGCTCAAGGTGCCTGCTCCAGGAGGCCCA